ATAGCAAACCAGAGAGGCCAGTCAAGGACAAAGAAGGAAAGACAATCACGAAGATTGAAGAACAGAGGGGCAGAATACTTCGAGGAACTGCTGAATAGACCAGCCCCATTGAATCCACCGAACGTCGAAGCAGCACACACTGACCTTCCAATAGATGTCACTCCACCAACGATCGAAGAAGTCAAGATGGCCATCAGACAAATCAAGAGTGGGAAGGCGGCAGGACCTGACAATATACCAGCTGAAGCACTGAGGTCAGACATTGAAATAACTGCAAACATGCTTCACCCTCTATTCAAGAAGATCTGGGAAGAGGAACAAGTGCCAACGGACTGGAAAGAAGGATATCTCGTCAAGATACCAAAGAAAGGAGATCTGAGCAAATGTGAAAACTACAGAGGTATCAGTTTGTTATCAGTACCAGGAAAAGTTTTCAACAGAGTGCTGCTGAATCGAATGAAAGACGCAGTAGACGCCGAACTTAGGGATCATGAGGCTGGATTCCGTAAGGATCGGTCGTGCACAGACCAGATTGCGACACTACGGATCATCGTTGAACAATCAGTTGAGTGGAACTCATCACTATACGTCAACTTTATTGACTATGAAAAGACGTTTGACAGCGTGGACAGGAGAACATTATGGAAACTTCTCCGACACTATGGAGTTCCTTAAAAGATTGTCAACATTGTCCAAAACTCATACGATGGACTACAGTGCAAAGTGGTGCATAAAGGACAGCTGACAGATGCATTTCCAGTAAGGACCGGAGTCAGACAAGGCTGTCTACTCTTCCCATTCCTCTTCCTTCTAGTGATTGACTGGATTATGAAGAATTCGACATCTGAAGGGAAATACGGAATACAATGGACATCTCAGAATCAATTAGAGGATTTGGACTTCGCAGATGACCTAGCCCTCCTCTCTCATACACACGACCAAATGCAGATGAGGACAGCAAATGTAGCAGCAGCCTCCGCATCGATAGGCCTCCACATTCACAAAGGAAAAAGCAAGATTCTCAAATGCAACACGGAGAACACCAACCCAATCACACTTCATGGAGAAACTCTGGAAGAGGTGGAAACATTCAAGTACCTGGGGAGCATCGTTGATAAACAAGGAGGATCGGATGCAGATGTAAAGGCGAGGATTGGCAAAGCAAGGGCAGCATTTCTACAATTGAAGAACATATGGAACTCAAAACAACTCTCAACCAATTTCAAGGTCAGAATCTTTAATACGAACGTCAAGACAGTCCTACTGTATGGAGCTGAAACGTGGAGAACTACTACGGCCATCATCAGGAAGGTACAAGTATTTATAAACAGTTGTCTACGCAAAATATTCAACATCCACTGGCCGGATACTATCAGCAACAGCGTTTTATGGGAGAAGACAAACCAGCTTCCAGCTGAAGAGGAAATTAGGAAAAGACGTTGGAAGTGGATCGGACATACATGAAGGAAATCACCAATGTGCATCACGACTCAATCCCTAACTTGGAATCCTGAAGGGAAGCGGAAAAGAGGAAGGCCAAAGAACACACTACCTCGGGAAATAGAAGCTGATATGAAAAGGATGAATAGCAACTGGAAAGAACTGGAAAGGAAGGCTCAGGACAGAGTTGGATGGAGAATGCTGGTGAGCGGCCTATGCTCCTTCACAAGGGGTAACAGGCGTAAGTAAGTAAGTAACTGGCGAAGTTTGTGTCAGATTTAAAGAAGTGATGTGACTTTCTTTGCTTGTTTTGTAACTCGAAGTTTCTTTCAGTGTCAAGTGTGCTTTCTGGTGTCGATTAGAAGTTCATCTCTTCAAGAATTCCATTCCTAGTATTTTTAGATTTAAATCAGCTACAGTGGACACCCCAGAGGCATTGTCTGCTAACAAGGGAAGTTCTTCCACCCAGCTCACTTCAGTTCTGAAGAATGGTACTGGGTGCATCACAGCATCCACTCAAGAATTCATGCCTGAATTACGGCCTCTAACATGAAGCAAGCGACTGTTTATTCATTTCCCATATTCTGGGGAGTCTGTTTAGGCCGGGTGCTTGGTTGGCTTGAGATCAAACTTTCCGTGTTGCCAACAAAACTATCTAGATCGTCTAGACGTTTGTGACTTAAATATCGATCATTGTGGTGACCCGTTTCTATCTCTATGACTGTTATAAATTTGAGGATACTTGTTATAACGCTTGCGGTTTCTGGTTATAACAGTCCTTTCACTTTTTACACGTATGTGGGACGTTAATTTACCTTAGACGAATATCTACACTAGATTCCCACCCAGTGTCTGTCTGGACTTCAACACAACTCAGATCAAGAACACGAGATTAGCCTGACTATAACGTCAATATATTTCCACACCAAAATCCGACACAAAGAACAGTCCATCAACAAGTGTCCATCAATAAGGATAGGGGAATATATATAACACATAACACCTGTCATCCTATCTAATGTCTGACTCATCAAGACAACCAATCATTATTATTCTCACCCACACATCAATGACCCATTTGCATTTTGGAGACAGCAGCTGTGAAACGTTTAACACTTGCAGTGACTTCTTCAATGACTGTGTCTTTTGATGAAACAAATTCGCACATGAAGTATCTTACGTGATCCAGTTGGGAGACCCATTACTACCATTCTATTTGCAGTATGTCGTGAAATAAAGAGGTGTCATGGTGTAGTGATTGAATGAACCAACGATTCCTTTGTATTGATGACTGTTTTGATTTTGAATTCCAAATACAGTACATTCGTTCGTGCTCATCTAATACTTCTTGATTGAATCGCGTTATTGCTGGGATTACTAGTTCATACTATAATTCAATAACTCTTAATCATCACACAGAGTCTTATGCATCCAAACAGTTTTGGGACTGCCTCACCCATTGTGTTGTCACCCACTAAGACATGGAAATGATGTGAAATTTGTGACGACCTGTCGTTCAATGTTTCCCCTTGGAAAAGCTTTCTGATTATTTGGCTGTCTGACAAAACTATTCAGTATTTCTCGTTTTAAAATGGCGTATGGTTGTGGTGTTAGTGGACTAAAGTCAAGTCACAGTCTTTGGTGACTAAGGGAGGGAGGAAAGAGCATGAATCTCAGTAGCGAATTCCCTGAGATTTGGTATTGTGTCCCTTGAAATAACGCTGTAGCAGAGCAAACCACATTTCGGGGTCACTACGATTGAATTTCGGGAGTCGGACGTTCGTAGTCATAACAGTGTCTATCTATGCCGGTGACAAATTACATTCGTTCTCCAGATTTTCGGTTTGGAATGAGTCTGATAAGTAGCATATAACGAATATATTTATACGATATGGACTGCAACACGAATACTTTGTGATAAAAAACTATCTATCTATCTATATATATATACATTGTTGTGACTTTAAGGCAAATTATCACGTGACTTATTTGTCAATCGGAATACGACGTATGAGATGGAATTTCAAACGGTTGAATGTAGCATATTTACCGAACAATCCACAGCAGACGGACTAGGAAGTTCACCTTTAATCTGACTTGGACGCTCATTGGAATTGTATACTTCACATAATCTTAAGTGATACATACCAGTGTGAACCTCACATAGTCCCCAAACATTACGAGAAAAGTACAGTCATGAAGAATCGAACCCTTTGAATAATAAGATTCAAAAGGCACTGCCATGTAAAGTACAAATAAAACAGTGTAACGGCACATACATGTAATGGCTCAGTAGTCTATCGGTTAAGGGCTTCGGCTCGAGACTTATAGGTCATGGGTTCGAATCCCACGAGTGCAGGTTCGTGGATGCGCACTGCTGAGGAGTCCCGTAATAGGACGAAACGGCCGTCCAGTGCTTACAGGTTTTTGCCCCCAAATGCCCTGGTACGGCCGAGAGTGGGGAGAGTCCGCTCTCCCTCTCGAAATGCTCTCACATGGCCACGCCAGGGAAGTCCTACTCACTGCCTTCTCGTGGCGGGGGTGTTGCTTACGAAAATGAGAGGACGAAAAGCGAATGTCCGGCGCTATAACCAGTTTGGTGGATGTGGAGGATCCACCTAGGGGAGTTGGAAAACCCTGATTCCAAACCAATGGTGCACATGGGCTCCAGTATCCTGATGGAACGAATGGCGAATGGACCTGTTTTTGGTCACTGGCTACCATGGGACTGCATCTCATCACGATGCTCCACTGACTTGTGGATTAGACCTCTGAGTCAAAGGCTGGGGGTGTGGCCCCCTAAGAAAACCACTTTCTTCGGTTTGGGCACCCGGGCAGTATCACAGCCCTCTCGCAAATAAATGAAATGGAACATTCAGCTGACAATCATATTCTCGTTCATATAAGAAACAATTCAATTTGCATTATTGTTACTATTATTATTATTTACCATATCGCTAATTCACCCCCTTTTATCCCAAATTTGTGTAACCTTACTTTTCATCTTATGCAGCAGCTCGCTCTTGGTGGAAAATCTGTCCTATCTAAACGATCTCCAGTCACTGTCTGGTTGAAAGTGAATGCTTCCACCGATTATGAATACTGAAGCAGTCTTTCTGAAACCACGTACGCCGTTCAAGCTGGCTTCCTTCAACGTTCGCACACTAATGCATATCAGACAACAGATAGGGCTAGCTATGTCTTTGGAAGGTCTTAATGTTGATGTTTGTTGTCTATCCGAGACCCGTATTCAAGACTCTAGTGAAGTACTACAAATCCGCTCTCCATCTGTCTGAAGGCAGTGAGTAGGACTTCCCTGGCAGAGGCTATATACGCATGGCCATGTGAGAGCATTTCGAGGAGAGCAGACTCTCTCCACTCTCGGCCGTACCAGGGAATTTGGGGGCGTAGACGTGTTCATGAGTGCTAGGAAACCAGTTCAAGTGTTGGCCTTATTAACAAGTCTTACAGACGTATGCAATCCATCAGAAAAGATCACTCCATATTGCTGCGTATCTGATGAGGAAGACATTCTCCTGTCTTTTTGTTTTGTATTTTTTAACTATGACAGCAAACAATATATTTTTTGTTATATCCCAATGAGTTGGGAAATAGTATTCCTTGCGTCTCGTTACTTAGTGTAAGCCACTTCTTCAGAATAAATAAAAAACTGAAGTGGCTTGCATTAGGTCACGAGACGCCAGAAATACTTTTTCTCGACTCATTCGGATATAACAAGAAATATATTTATAATTAACTTTCTTCCCAATGGTCAATGTACTTGAAATTATCAAGTTCAACATTCGACGGCAAGTAATTTATCTTGAAGGTCTCGTATATGAGGACCGTGGGTAAGGACAATATTACAAGAAGAGCAAGGAAGATTCTTGGGGAGCGTGAGCTAGGACATCTAAACTGGACCTAAGGCTTCTTTCCCAGAAAGGCTCAAGTCCTAAAGTATGGTTTTGGGAACGACAGTTGATAGACTAGTCAGCTATAGGATTTTTGCGGATGAAATCCCTTTGTATTCTCTCCACCCTAGGTGTATTGGATAAGCACATGTCGGAAAATATGAATGAGGAGTATTCATTGAATCGGAAGTACTCCATATCTCGAGAAGAACCCATGATAAATTGAACAACACAGATACAACCAAACAATGTGGACTTCACAGATGACTTATATCTCACGCACAGAAACAGATGAGGGTGGAAACAGTCAGTGCAACAACAATCTCTGAGGTAGCAAGCATAAACGTACAAAAAAGAAAACGCAATATCCTGAAGCACTGAGAGAACAAACCAAATTACATTTGATGAAAAACACCCTTAACATTCATCCAATAGCCCATGGGCACGAGTCCCGCTATAATAGACCTAAAATGTTGTTAAATAAATAGGTAACAGAACTACTTAGTAATCAAGAAATTACACGCCAGCTGAAGATTACATAACGACAGAAATAGCCCACAAGGTCTCAATAATATGAATATATGAAATATAAATCATGTCAAGATACACAAATAATTAAATAAAGTAAACAAACACTATAGAAGATAACCTGGTAACTGGAATAACAGAAAAATAAAAGAAAGATTTACTTGTCATTCATGCATACAACTGTCTTCTACACTGAATCCCTACATCCAGTATATGTTTCAAATAGGCTTGTATATCGGATTCTTCGTCAAAAACATTTCCAGAACGCACTTTTTCCGAAATATAATTAGCCACTTTACTCAAATCATCTAGAACATTTGAAGCCTGTAATATTTTCAAAGCAGTTACGTGTGAATTCGATTTCGCATTACTGTTGCTTTCCAATTCAGTTTTAGATTTTAATGCTTCAAACAACCAATCAATCAACTCAGGTACACATTTTCCAGGTGCTGTCACTGGCCAACCATTAATAATTTGAGCAAATAAACAGGTAGCTGCCAAAGTTGCAGTTGTTGCAACTTTTAGTAAATCATTATTAATTTTAGCATTACACACTGATTCCTTTAGTTGCATTTCAACTTGAATGGCTAATTCATTAGCTTTAAGTCGTTCGTCTCGTTCTCGTTTATTATTATCACTATTAGGTGAATGAAATACGGAAATAGTCAAGCCGAGAATGTCAACTGATAGATTTTTTATTGGAGTATAAAATGTATCAAGTGATGTTAGATTATTTTGTCCAACTTTAAAGCTGTCCAAAACTTGCTGTATAGCACTGCTCATTGAAACTGCATCTGGTAAATTAGTATGTTTTAACAATTCTATCAAACGATGATACGATTCAATGCTTAATGATTCTGTAATATTTGATTTGACATTGTTATTTTGTGTTGAATCTGAGTTTGTTTTTAATGGACCATTTTTACTAGTTGTAGATTCAGGCCATGGAATTCCGAATTCATACGAAATATGATCACATAGCTGCCGAACAATAGGCATACCATAATTTTTCAGAAGATGAATTAATAATTGGTTTCTTAGGGTATCATGATTTATTGAAGAGATCCCTCTCTCTAACAACTGAAGTAATAAATGAAAAGTTCATCTTTAGCCACAAAAGTAAATGTACATGATAATAATGACAAATATAAGAGATTATGGTCCCTAGTTTAGATTTTTTTATTAAGCGTGGAAAATATCCGACTGTGCGGAATATCTGAATTATGATTTTGTGGGAGTAATGCACCACAAAATTACAATAAAACAATAAATACACTCTACTTCGTACTGCTAAAACATCGTAAAGCTACAAAACCCTATGTAGTACTACACGTATATATATAGGGGAACATCCGAAAACCGGAGGTGCATGAAATACGGTTACTATGATGAAACTTTAAAACATTCATGCAAAGATAATCTTTATGGTGATTTTCTCTGGGTAACCCATGGAAAATACACAATGAAGAGTGTTTCAGTTAAGATTGTGGATTCCTGAGTTTAAGAACCTAAATCTCTGAGTGAAAATGACAGTTATGTTACGACATAAGAAATAAATTTGAAAACGCTAATAACTGTATTCCCAACATAAACACATTTGTCTCGAGACAAATATCCCTTAAGCAAGCTGTTTGAAGGGTTTGATGCAATTTATTATTAAAAGGTTCCAAAAGAAAAAAGCAACCATCTGACCCAAAGTGATTTTTATTCAGTCAGTTATAACCAAAAACTTGAAAATTTTATTACCTGTAAACTGAGAACCATACTATTAACCACTTCCTGTGTTTGCAACTTTTTCTGACGATCGAAATTAGCACCTGCATTCGGTGAAATCAGTGAACCAATATGTCTTATAAATGATTGCTGTAAAGTAAGTTCCAACATATCAGCGACCTGATCAATCACTTCACTGGGCACATCACTTGGTAACTGTGAAGACAAAATACTTCTAACGTCGTCCATGAGAACATAACGAGCAAAAAGATCTTTAATTAGTGACTGGGAATCACCAATGCCACTAGAAAAGTTATTTTCTGGATCATTAGCGGCTGGTGAACTACTCGTCTTACGTTTACTTGGATTATACTTTTTCTTAACGTTTTTGGTCTTAATTTCACGTGCACCAAAACCAAATCCACCTTTGGACAATGTAACTGCTTGTTTAGGTGTATTAACTTCTACGGATTGTTGTTGAGTTGGACTTGACAGGATTGCATGATGTTCGTGGTGGAAGGCTGTCTGAGCTTTTTTCTTTAAATACGTGTCAATAAAAGCTTCGCACCTTTCAATGAATTTGTCAGCAATTAAATATGTTTCAAGTAATTTCACTGGAGCATCTTTTAATAAAGGGTTAACTAGTGCCGATCTTTCATTTGAATCTAATCCATTTGGAATATAATGGGATAGGTCTATCCAAGATACATCTCGGACTACCCCTGAAATAAGGGATTTTAACTGATCGACTATTAATGGATTGACCGTAAGACCTGGTAGATGTATAGCATTGGGAAATTTAGTTTTTAAATATGAACTTGGATCAGGAATATTCAGTCGTTTTAAATAGTTCCACTCAACATATCCATTTTGAGAGTAAAATGAATTGATGTATGTATCCTCAGCATAAGTATAACATTTCGGAACAAAGCCGCTACGACCAGCAATTAGATTACCATACAATCGACCGGTACTGATAAGACTAGAGACAATACTATTAATTAAATTTTCAGGAATTTGAAGTTTTGAAGCAACTGAACTTAAATTAACGGGACGGATAACACCTGTAAAATAACCTCGGATTTTCGCCTTAGTAGCATTAAGAAAAGTATCTGTAAAGTACTTCTCGCCATATTTATGTACATGAAATAAAGTACTTTGATACTCTTGCATGATACTTGATATAAATGTTGTAGGCAGATTAAAGATGATAGTTAGTTCACCAATACTAGTTTGGCCATGTTCTTCTAGTCGATCAAGTATTTCATGAGCTACACGTCGAACATATGAACTGTTGACAACTTCACTAGGTATACTGATCAAACGACAAGGTGTCTTGTTTTGCGCATCTAAGTTTATCAATTCAGTGACTCTCGATTCAATGATATCGAAATCCACATCAAGATTTGATGCTAGTTCTGTAAGTGTAATTCTACCAGAGTGTGCTTCAACTTCATCTCGGATTTCCTTATCAAGCTCGTCTCGAGTCAAATATGACCGCCCATCAGTTGAGAAAATCAGTTTTAATCTATTCACAGACATTAAGTGTCGTATAATATCGACCCATGTTCTATCAGATAGTTTACAGATATTAGGTTGATTTTGTGTTTCTTTGAGTTTATTAGCTAGTTCTCGCACCTCATCCCAAGTTGCCATATTGTATTAGGAATCGAAAAACACGTAATATTTCTGGAATGTCTGTAAACAGAAAATGGATAAACTCCATAAAATCCATTGGTAGAATAAGGTTTAAATCCAACATGCAAACAGTAATCTATAACTTTTATATCACATACTGGTAGAAAAACTAAGGGGCAGGATTGAGAAAGATATTGCACAGATTTTTATATTCATGAAGACTAATATACCTTGGGAGCTATATAGCACCTAACAGTCTCAGTAAAAATAGAAAATGATTCGTCTGCTATTCGTAAACATATGCCAATTACGTTCATAGTGAGATATCTAACTGATAACTAAATGGTGGGTGAATAATCTGTGTAACATTGCTCTCTACATTACACCACCGTATAAGACCAGGATACTAAAGGTGAAAGAAGTGTATATATTGCAATCATTTGGTCTCGATGAGTCATTACTTCAATGTGCCAGAATTAGGAACTAATTGATGGTTCAAAATTTTCAACAACCCATAGGATTAAACCTACTAATATCCTGTCTTCATTGCTCTCTCTTAATCCTCTTAGAATTTGAAGATTTTTGTGCTATTTCAGTATAAGACAACATCGATCAATAAGCAAGTGAAACGAGTTTGCGCATGACCGATGAACTTACTTGGATAATATTAGAGCTGACAGATACACAGGATAGCGGTGTTTTTCCTCGCTGAAAAGACTTTTGTGATTTCGATCGTTTATAACTCGTCAAGACTTAGTTTAATTGAATTATTATCAATCAAAGTATTTTAGAAACATCATTCTTACAAAGGGTTTAGCACCTATACTATTTTTGAATACAGAAGCATTTTAGTCATTGCACTTTTTGAACTTAACTGTTCATGGTGTTTTTACTTTAACCCAGCTTTTCCTGGTTATCGGCTTTTGCCTATGTGACCTTCTTTCTTCCAATCTATCTGAAAATCTTGGAGTGATAACTAGACAGTGTAAAGAAAGTAATTGTTAACGCCCATGTTGTCGATACCCGATGGATAGCGAGATGCAGTGTGGTAAGCGTAAATGGTGGTACGATGAAGTCTGTACTAATGAAATACATGCAGTGTTAACACGCTATAGAAGACCCGGATGCCTGTGGTTATGCCAGCAGTACTGCTTAGAAGTAATTAGCTTGTTATCAGGAGCGATTGAAATATTGAACGTAGCTAAAATGCAGGATATTAGGCATAACTCTACTAGACTTCAACATGATGATGCTTCGTCTATCAGTAAAAAAGTCGGTGTACGATCGTCTAAACAAGCACAAAGCTGATTGGCTCACCTGAGCCGAGGAAAGATGGACCACCTTCGAGGAGGCCGAACAGCGACATTCCATTGCCCCCAAAATGCCCTGGTACGGCCGAGAGTGGGGAGAGTCCGCTCTCCCTCTCGAAATGCTCTCACATGGCCATGCGTATATAGCCTCTGCCAGGGAAGTCCTACTCACTGCCTTCTCGTGGCGGGGGTGTTATTCACGAAAGTGAGAGGACGAAAAGAGAATAGCCGGTGCTTTAACAGGGTTGGTGGACACAGCGAGTCCAGCTAGGGGAGTTGGAAAACCCTGATTCCAAACCAACAGTGCACATGGGCTCCAGGATCCTGATGGAACGAATGGCGTATGAACCTGTTTTTGGTCACTGGCTACCAAGGGACTGCATCTCCTTACGATGCTCCAGTCTTGTGGATCAGATCTTTAGGTCGAAGGCTCCGGGTGTGACCCCTTAAGAAAACCACCTGCCTCAGTTTGGGCACCTGAGCAGTATCACAGCCCTCACAAAAATCGAATGAGATTTGTGCGGCGCATATGTATCTGGTACTCTCGTACCAATATTTATGTGTATAAATAATAAAATAATAATAATAAATAGGTCGGACAGAAACGAAAACTCAGTCGAATACATATCAAAGCGTTTCTTCCGTGTATCGTTCATCAAACAGTACCAGTCAGGATCCCCCTGGGGGAACAAAACTGTAGAGCTGTGGCTGTTGTCCAATCTGTATTAAAGTGCGAACGTTGAAGGAAGTCAGTTTGAATGGTATACGTGGTTTCAGAAAGACTGGTTCAGTATTTGTTTTAAACAACCTATGGAGAATGACAGAAGCCAATAGTTTGGACGCGATCGGAAGTAGACTTATCCCCCGATAGTTGTTACAGGAACAACATGAACCCTTCTTAAAGGTAGGGACGACTATCGACTAATTCCATGACATTGGAACACTTTCTAGCTCCCAAACCTTTGTAAACATCACAGTCAATTCCTTAGCCAGAAAGTCACCACCATCTTTAAAAAGAGCCGGAGGTAAGTTATCTGGGCCCGATAATTTGTAGCGATTCAAGAGTTGGAGTTCCTTGCGGACCTCCACCTCATTTGGTGGATCAGTCGTCACAGACCATGGAGGACAGGACAGTCTGATCGATGTTGCTGGGGCAGCAGGCCAGTTGAACTGCCCTTCGACCGACGGGCTTCGATCAGTTGTAAGCAGCCAGAAGAAACCCAGTGCTTATAAACGGGACGTTTCGCGAAGCTGCAAGCTACTTTACTCCCCATATTCATGGCGTCATGCAGTTGTAACCAATGTTCATTTACACCTTTCGGTGGGATGGTAGCTAGCCTAGAAGCTAGATCGACTCGATACTTACTTGCAACAGAAGTTGCAGCCAGTTTACTAACATCAATCCGTTGATGGCGGTCAATTGTTCGGCCACTGAAAAGTAAGGTAAGATTGGCGCAGACCAGGGCATGATAAGAGTCCACATAGGTACGAATGAAAGGGGCCTAACGCTACACAACGGATATAATCCGGATGTGTGGAAAATCAAACCAATTCGGATGCAGCACGAAGCTGTTTAGATGGACTTCAAATCGGTCAAAAAACCCGTTTGTTTAACAAGATATTAAAGCTAGGTATACAGAGAGAACCTGGCAAGTCAGGTGTAATTCTCTTGACAGAGTGGTTGAATCATCCTATACGTGACAGGGAACTTGACTTTGAAGACTTCACATTAGTAAGGGTCGACACACTCAATACCATAAAGAAGTAGCTTTATTCATCAAAAACAGCACCCCTTTTACCCTTATCGATAACATTCTATGAAAGTAGAATGTGAAAATTAGTTCTAACTTCAAATGCAAGGTACTAGAGCTATTGATTGGCTTAGTTTACCGCAGTTTAAACTGAGGCAAATGAATTCTTTCTGTTTCTAGTATTATTGATGATAGCGATAATTTACAATGACGACTAAGATATGAAAATAAACAAACCGATGTGAACGCGGCCAATATTAATACTGTTCCCAATCTTCAAACTTTGCGGAGTTTTTTGCAAATTAGGGGAAGACACCAAACTCTACACTAGTCCAGGATTTTGTTCCAAAAGGTGAAATTTGCAATGGGAAATCCACAGAATTTCTCAGGAGTGTGAGAAATTTCCCATAAAGTTGGGAGATTTTGTCACTGTGGTATGATCAATAAACAACTACAGAAATGCTAAATCTTTACCATTCAAAGCAGCTGATCGCCGCACCAAGGGAAATAGATGGGGTTTGATTTGTGTGACATGTTCGAACTGCTGATCAGCATTTAAAATGAAATAAAAGTTATGAATTAATTCATAACTTTTATTCCATTCGACCTTGAGTTTCACAACAAGTTGATCTTATATAAGACCAAACTGTTCGTCTTTATTTCTCCTTTACTGGTTGTTTGGGATAGTGAGCAATAGTTTTCCACTGTTTTGTACTTATACTGAGTAGAATAAATATAAGGTATACAATTCTAGTAACCAGCTATATAGATATATTTGCGTAAATGCAAAAAACAGACATACGTGTGCCCAAGGTCACGTTGCCCAGTGATTCATAAATTTGCCATTAGTCTTCAGTTATAAATGGTTCAAATGGTTCAAATGGTTGAGGACGGAATAGAAGAGGCTTTCGCTTAACGGGCTTCCGTGTCTGGTAGCAGTGGATCACCAATACCTCCAGGTAAGAACCTAGGTATATGAACGATAATAGAGGAAAAAAAGAGGATAGTAGATTGTTGAACCTGTGTTGCTCCTGACAGATTTCCTTCCAGTGAAGGTTCAGCTTCTCCTTGAAAATGTTCACTGATGGGGCTGATACCACTTGTTCCAGTAAGGCGTGCCAGTCATTGACAACTCAATGAGAAAAACGGAACCCAAATGGTTCAAATGGTTCAAATGATTGAGGACGGAATAGAAGAAGCTTTCGCTTAACGGGCTTCCGTGTCTGGTAGCAGTGGATCACCAATACCTCCAGGTAAGAACCTAGGTATATGAACGATAATAGAGGAAAAAAAGAGTTTGGTAAATCATAATAATATGTTATCCTTAGTCCTTAAGAATAAGTCAAGTTTCCTCTTAAAGGACTCCTGAGAGGTCGCTTGGACTAACACAGTCGGCAGCGAATTCCAGCACTTGACAACTCTAACGGAGTAGAAGTTGTGTCTGCAGTCTGTTCTGCTATGTAGGGTCTCCAATTTCTGGGTGTTACCTCTGAGGTTTGTGTTATGACTAAGCTTAAGAAGTTGTTTAAGGGGATGACCAGAAGTATTAAGGATATTATAAGTCATAAGAAGATCACCTCTAAGACGCCTATACTCTAACGGGTAAAGGTTAAGTGATTTGAGGCGCTCTTCATAAGGTTTGAATTTGAGACCCCGAACTGATTTCGTGGCTCGACGTTGTATACGTTCCAGAGGGACCTTATCCTTTTGGAGGGAGGGAGGAAATACTATGTTTCCGTACTCTAAGTGGGGACGAATAAAACTGTTGAAGATTATATGGAAGGTTCTACCGTCAAACTGGCCAAAAATGCGCTTCAATGTTACCAGTGCAAGGTTTACTTGAGAGGCGTTTTTGTCACAGTTCGCATACGATTTCAGGTCGTAGGGTACCAACACTCCTAAATCTTTTTCAACTTGGGAAACTTCCAGAGGTGAGTTACCTAAGTTATAACTATAGTCTGAAACATGTCTCAGATGGACTCCTTGCACTTTGAAGTGTTGAAGGTAAGTCCGTTGTCGTCTGCCCAACTTTGAAGTCGAGTCAGATCCTCCTGAAGAACTAGTATATCATTATGATTACGTATCTCTTTCCAAAGTTTCACATCATCAGCAAAAAGCAATAAGTCAGATGAAACTTGTTGAGGAAGATCGTTAATATAAATCAAGAAGAGAAGAGGTCCTAGTATTGAACCCTGGGGGACCCCACTAGGACATTCCATAGCCTGAGAGAGAGTGAAGTTAACCCTGACCTTAAAGTGTCGGTTTTCTAAATATGAAGAGAGCCAATCAATTAAAGGGGGTTAATACCCAATCGTCCAAGCTTCTTGATAAGACATGCATGGTTGACCCTATCAAAAGCTTTTGAGAAGTCCAGGTAGATGACGTCAACCTCCCCCTTGCGATCAAGGATGGTTGTCCATCTATCCACCGCAGTCAGCAGGTTGGTCATACAAGAATGACCTTTTCTGAAACCATGCTGTTGAGGTGAGAAGAACTTTGAGGATGATAAGTGTTCTAGTATGCCGTCGAATACTAGGGATTCCATAATTTTTGAAGGCATGGAGAGAAGGGCCACTGGTCGGTAGCTTGAGGGTTCACTGCGTCGACCTCCTTTGAAAATTGGTGTGATGTGGGCCAGCTTCCATATTTCCGGTAGTTTGCCTCTGCTTAGCGAGTGTGCAAACATCGCGCTAAGTGGTGTTGCCAGGATTGAAGCTGCTTCCCTCAATACAGTGGAATGAACCATGTCCGAACCAGGAGAAGTGTCTTTTCTTAGGTTCTGCAGTTTACGGAGCACCAGGTCAGCACTCAGGTCCACTTCGGAAAGTCCTGTACAGGGGCAGGTGAAGCTTTCGTCAGTATGGTTTATGTGGGTCAGCTGGAATGTCCGGGAGTATTGTTCAGCCAAAAGGTTAGCGGCATAACTGTCGTTATTGGTCGGGCCATTAGGACCAAGCAGTTGGGAAACTCCAGTTTTGCTTTGTCGAAGAGAATCTGCATAACTGAACAAGCTTTTCGGATTGGAGACGAATCTATCGATAAGCTTGGTCTGGAACTGAAGCCTGTCTTCTCTTATTGCCTTTGTGCATATGTTCCTTATATGTTTGTATTGCCTGTACGCGCCGTTGTTATCAGTTCGTTTATATTCAGCCCAACAGTGCCTTTTGCGGCTTAGCAAACGACGAGTGCGGTTCTTGATGATTGGAGGTTGCTTGTAGCTTTTTGGGACCATTTTAGGAACTGAATGCTCAGTAGCATATAAGATCGTGTGCAGTAAAAAATCCCAATGAGCATCCACTTCAATTTGAGGGTGAACATCCCAATCCACCTGTTGTAGATAGTCCTGTAAAGCTAACACATTCAACCGTTTGAAATTCCAGCGCTTGTTGCCAGTAGGATATCGTAGCTCCGTCTTGCTGACAAAGCTGAATGATAAGACGGCGTGATCACTTTTCCCCAGGGGAACCAGGATTGAGAGGTCGTCAACTAGGTATTCTTCATTTGTGAATACCCAGTCTAAGCGTGACGGCGTCTGACTGTTTCTCCAACGGGTTGCCGACTTCACATTTTCAGATAATTCCAGGTCGCCGATAAGGTTGGAGAACAGAGCTTCAGTAGAGTTGGCACCACCAATGTATGTATGTTCCACGAAGTTGATTCTAGGGAGATTGAAATCCCCTAGAATCAGGATATGAGAGAATCCGAGACGCGTAGAGCGAGTTAATCCTTCCAGCAGACGTTTGTCATATTCGATGTCGGCAGTGGGCTTCCTGTAAACGACCCCAACTAGGCACCTCGAGGTGGTAGATAATCTTACTGAGCACCATACTGACTCGTCAAGATTGTGAAACTCTTGGTTGTGAAGTTGGTGCGCATCCAGGCGTGACCGTACGTATAGTGCCACCCCACCCCCATTCCTGTTTTTCTGTCGTTGCGAAATAAAGACATCCCAGTTATTGCTAACTCTTGGTCCGTAAACTGAGACGTTCTCCAAGTTTCGGATATTCCTATCAGATGGGCATCATTATCGTTGCTAAGTTCACGTAGCTCATACATTTTGTTTAGCAAGCTCGCGGCGTTCGTGTATAGGCAGTTTATGCTTTCAATTTGGAACGCGTGAGCTTCTTCTTGTTTGTCTATATGAGCCGTGTGTTGAGTGGACAGGTAGCCTACGTATACGATGTTTACCGAGTTGGTAGTCCCTGTCCTTTACACGTTTTTTTTATGATCAAGACAGTCCACGAGTGGAATTGTCAGATCCAGCTTTCGTTTGTGCTTGATCCTGCTGTCGTGGGGCCTATCCGGATGCATATGGATGCCAGTTGGCAACCGACGTCTATTGGCACGAAATGCTTCCAGAGTTGCAGCCGCCATGTGGGAGGAGGGGAAGGTTATCTTCAGCAGCCGGGGCCTAAAGTTTCCGTCTCTCTTGGCCAGTCTCACTACCTGTTGGGTCAATATGTTCTTGAGTTTTAAGGAATGCTTGATGAATTTCCATTCCCGAATATCAGAGTTTGCTTGAGTTGGGTCCATATTTTCCGGCACACCTTGCACAATGATATTTCGTCCACGGAAAAACGCCTCGCGAGATTCCTTAGGGATGTTCCGGATGAGATTTCGTTCAGAATACGGTATGTCGGGCAGTATTCTTACGTTCCCATCGGACTTCAGTAAGTGACTGGCTAGCAGGACGTCCTCTACGTCGGAGGCATTCTTAAGTGTAACACGAAGCAGCCTCGGGTGGTTTAGGTGGTTAGAGTCCTTCCCACGAGTGAGCCGTGTGACGGTCAAAGGCTCTATTCTAGGGAGTTCAAGCCTCTTGTTTAATTCTCCCCAGAGCATCCTATCGTTTTTGTCCTGCAAACTGAGAGGAAGGTCGGGGTTGCCAATAAGGTTCATGATTATGGAAGAGTCGTCACGAACCGCAATTAATTTCCCAGGTTTTCCAGGGCGTCTAGGTTTGGTATCTTATTGTTTGGATGTCGAGGCGCGTTTTCGATTCCTGGGCTCAGTGATGACCGGGCGGACAGTCTTGGGTGTAGACTGTGCGGCCAAAGCATCAATTGATTTCCGCACGATACTTGGGACGTTCAGTTTCGGAGGGGACGCTTGGGCTTTATTACTCCTGTTAACGTGAGTCCATCCACCTACAGGATTTTTGGGAACCACTGTCTCATTCAGGGACCCTTCCCCGGGGGACCCAAGTTTACTGAGGGAGTCGATGACAGTCGATGTTAAGATGGTGCTGAGTTTCAGCACATCATCACTCGTGCTGTTAACAGCACCGTCGATAACCGACCTGTCAGTATCCTTTTTCTTATTTGCCCTATGCGTTCCAGCTTTGTTACCCGTCATGATGCTATCATTTACCGAATTCTTAGACAACTTATCTCTCAGACCTGTCAGTAAAGTAATGATAGTACCCAACATAACTACCGTATCGGTGTTGCAGGTAACACATACCCACCTACGATCAGACTTGCTGAGTCTGCTATAGGCTGCTGCTGTTAGATCTGTACATGCCTCATGGAACCAACCTTTATAGTTGTCCCATTGCATGCCAGATGTAACGGCAAAACGGCAACCAGGTCTCTTGCATGAATTTTTCATGGCTAGTGATTAAGACTGTCTTAAAAATACAAGCAGTAAATTTAAGAGCCTTACTTCCTATTGTTCTCCAGAGTTTGATATCATCCGCAAACAATGATGTCGACGACTTAGGCAGCAGAGGTAATTGGTTAACATAGAGAAGGGAAAATAGAGGGCCTAAAATGGTGCTTTGGGGTGAACCGCTTTTGACCGGCTTCCATTCGGATAACGTTCCATTGACCGTCACTCTCTGTCTGC